TGTTTCTCAACAGCATTTCAGAGTTTTTTTCTGATAGCCCTTGCACATTTCTTAGGTTTATGTCTAGGTATTTCACCTTTTGTTGTTGTTTTTAACTATTGTAAGTTAGTTCTTCAGTTACATTTTCTAACTGGTTATTGATTGTAGGTATGAAAATTATTGGCTTCTACAATTTTGGTGCTAGCCAGCATACTAAATTATCTTATCTTTTATAATCAATTTTAGTAAATTCATGCTTTTCTGGTTTAAAAAAATCACATCATCTTCAAATAATAAAAAGTTAACTTCTTCATTTCTTATGAAGACTCTTTTTTGGGGGAGGAGTGGAAAGGCAACAGTTTTATTTATTTACATAATAAGATCCTTCAAATGGGTAATCATTCAAAGTTTTAAAAGTATAAAAGGGTATATAGCAGGGCTGAATGCAGTGGCTCACGTCTGTAATCCTAGCACTCTGGGAGACCAAGGCAGGAGGATTGCTTGAGCTCAGGAGTTGGAGATAAGCCTGAGCAAGAGCGAGACTCCGTCTTTACTAAAAATAGAGAAAATTAGCTGGGCATGGTGGCATGCGCCTATAGTCTAGCTACTCAGGAGTCTAGGGCTGGAGGATCATTTGAGCCCAGGAGTTTGAGGTTGCTGTGAGCTAGGCTGATGCCACAGCACTCTAGCCCGGGTGACAGAGCGAAACTCTGTCTCAAACAAACAAATAAACAAACAAAAAGGGAATACAGCAGAAAAATCATCTTTCTATCCTAGCCCCAGCTCCCCTCCCCCAGGCAGCCAATGTCTTTTGTCATTTGTTTTATAACCTTCTATAGACACCCCTATATCTGTGCAGGCCAGTACAGCTGCCCCTGAGAGTGGTTCTGGTGATACTGTCTCAGAAGCCCAGGTAAAAACTGGGCTTTAGAAGGCCAAAGAGGGCCAAATATGAGATCCTCTCTGTGTCCTGTCCCATCAGTAACTAAACGGGAGACATTCCAAAGACATAGGACCCAAGTCCTAAGATAGCTCCAGACTTTCGCTGGTGGAGCACCCAAGACCAGGTATGCCTGGAAGACCTGGGCCCTTGCTTCTGCTTTTTGGATATTTATTTTTCACCAACAAATTTTACCTCCTTATCTCTTTCATGCAGATGAATTCCAGACACACACATTCTATTATCAAAACAGCCATGAGCATCTAGCAACTTGCAGCCCATGATATATTCAGGGCTCAAGATTTGGAGCTGGATATGGGCCTTCTCTTTGTGGAGTCATCTCTTCCAGCATCTTCAAGTATTGTCCAGACAACATCTCTGAGGGTCTCTCAAGGCCACTGAAGCAAGAGGCTTTGAAGTTTCTTCAGAGCTTCTCCAGTTGGCAGATCTTCCCTATTCGACCTCCTATCCAGGCCTGCCAGGCATACCCCTGCCTGGGCCTCCTGGCACAGGAGATAAAATGCAAATGGGCTTACTCCCAGCAGCTGGTCCAGGAGATACCAGCAGGGAGGGAGTAGGAGAAAAGAAACCTGTTGGGGTGTTCACAGGAGGAGTGGAGGGAAGTTTTGCTATTTACGGATTCTTAAGCCAACAAAAGTACCTACATCATTTTCTGTCTTGAAGACATACTCAGGCAGAGAACCCAGAAGCAAAAGTGCAAGACAGGCATTTCCTGTGGTCAAGTGGATAAGAGCAGCCTGCAGCCATGGGACAGGGTGAGCCAAGCCAGATCTCCCTGGAGCTTCCTGGACTGTCAGTGGCCTCTGGGTCATTATATGTTTTCCATAAAGGAAGTGGGATGATGGTGGAAACGGTGATGGTATGGCCGTTGTGTGTGGGGGTGGTGGTGGTGGGGTGCTGGTGCAGTGGAGGGATGGTGGTGTGGCTGTGGAGTGAGAATGGGGTAGGGTGTTGGCATAAATTGGTGGCCATATTTGTGATGATGATGGTGAGATGGTGATGGTGGTTAATATGGATGTATAGTTTTATCCCGGGATCATTATAACATCATGACTGTTCCCAGCTCACTGCTTTGGGATACAAGTGAGAGACACCCTGGGAAAGCATGAGGGTGTCATAGCTTCAAGGTCCAATGGGAGAGAAGGGGAGGTGGGAGTCAGAGGTCACCAGAGTCATAGCACCTTTGTCAGGAATTAAGTACTATCTCCTGGCCTGTGGAACTGCCTGCCCTTTGTGTCCTGGGGAAGGAAGTGGGCAGGCAGAGGGACTGTGGGGACCTAGATAAACTAAAAATCTACTCCATCAGAGGGGCACATTTGAAGATATCAGGAGATTGTCAAGTCTAGTCCCAAACTAGAAGATCCTCCAGGGCACCAAATCCTTTCCAGGGAGGCAGCAACAGAGCACCCAGTCGCCACAAGAGAGGATTCACTGAGTATTAGCTCCATGGTCGTGGTGTGCTGGGGCTGGCTCGTGCTGGTTTGCACAGGTTTGCTAGAGCCAATTGCCAAATTTTTAGGAATCTTGTGCGCTGGTTCTTAAACACAGGCATTATTAAGAATTTAATTGTATAAACTTACAAGTAAACAAATTATACTAAAGACAAAGATAAAAAGCACTCTAAACTCATCACTTCCTAATTATTTTATTCTTTTGTACCTTCATGTTCTTGAGGATATTTAACTGTATTGTATATGTATAGTGGGAAAACCATGTAATGGTGTGTGACCCTGCACTTCTTCACAACTCTGTGCTCAGTGACATCACATCAGTAGCTTGAAATTGACCCAGGTGCAAGTGTTTACACCACAGAAATTGGCAAATACCACCACTCGGTACTCTGCCTCCCATAAGCCCCCAGGCCAGTTGTTAAACATTTACCACACATAACTGCTTGAAGGGCACACATGAGGCAGCATGAGGCATGGAGAAAAGCAGCAGGCAGAAGGTGGGGTGCTGTACACATCAGTGAAACCTCTGAAGAGCATCCTGCTTGGGGTCTCTGTGCTAACACAACTTCCCACTGGGTTGTGATTCCAATAGAAGAAGACCCTGGGGAAGCATGACGGTGTCATAGCCTCAAGGCCCAGTGGGAGAGAGGGTGGTGGGAGTCAGGAAATCCACCCAAAAGGGGGAGAAGCTGACATAAAGCAAGAAGCCAGGCAGACCCCATAATGCAGGAACTGCAGGGGCCACTGCAGGGGGCTGTCAGCGCAGGTGTAGGCCTGAGGCCCCTGAGAAACTCAAGTCAAGGCTGTCTCAACATTTTCCTCCATCCATTGGGGGAGCAAACACTGGGGCAGGGGATGCAGATATAAAAACACCCTGTACCCCGGAAAGCGCACAGTGAAAGGGGAGTGGAGGGCTGGGCAGGTGACGGTTATGAAGCCAGACAAGTGCTGGGGACGTGGAGCAGAACACTGTGGGGCTCAGAGGACCGATCTCTGCCTGGAGGAGTCAGTGAAGGCTTCAGAGGCAGGTGCCTCTGGGTCTTGGAAGATGAGTAGCACCAGCTAGGTAGAGAAGAGACAGGGGTAGCCTTCCAGACAGAACCAGAGTCCAGGTGAATTCTAAATAGTGGCTCTTGCTGTAACACTGTGGTCATTATGTGGATTCAGATGCACTGAGGCTCAAGCCATATGCCTTAGGACATGAATGCTCTCCATTCCACTGTCCAGTCCAGCTCCACCAGCCTGCAGGGGTAGGGCTCATCCTAGGCCCCAGCACTAGCCGGGTGCTAAGCAGAGAGAATCACTTCTGGTTTCTGGGTGCTGCTGTACTTCAATTTCTAAATCCCAGCCTCATAGCCATGGCCTGGCCAAGCCGTGGAGGACAAGGGGGACACAAGGGCCCAAGGGGCATCAAAGGGCACCAGGACCAGACATGTAGGGAGGTTCTTGCCTCCTCTGCACACTTTCCCATTTCTTCATATTCAATGCCAATTCTTTCCCCCTAATTTTATATTACTGGCATCTTCTATCTGCTCCATCACTAATGAAAGAAAAATAGAGCAAGTGGGTTGCTTTCCTTTCTTTTTCCATCCTTCCTCTTTGCTCTTGAGTTCTAAACCAGAAGGGTTGGGAACCAAAGGAAATTTGAAATAGGAATATCTTGAATTCACCAAGACATCTCTTGGAGGCTAAAGAACTTTGCCATCGGGGTCAGATCACTTCCCCAAAGTAGGTCAGACCTTATTCCACAGCTGCCAGCAAAAGCTATAGCTTCTCTCGTGCAGCGGCCGAGCCAGTGCAACAACTGCAGGCTGCCTTTCAGACCAAGGAGCTCCCAATGGCCTTCAGCCATCAAAGGAATAAAACTCCTTTGCTGCAAAAGGAAATAAACTTTTTCTTTTCATTATCATGCCTTATCTTGGGCTTGCTGAGCATATTTTTTGACTATCCTGCTCCTTGTTTTCTCCCCCTCCCTCTGTAAAATGAGAATTGACTGATAGACTGTCATGATACTCTCAGGATACCTCCTTGAAGAGTTTTTCTGGGGTGTATGGTGCTGAGAGTTTGGTGAGACTTTAGGTCAAATAGCCACCATGCATGATCCCAGATGAGTTGGTTCCATGCTCAGCCTTACTCCTGTCATGTATAAAACAAGAGAATTGGACTCAGTGACCTCAAAACCAGTTCCAAAAATGACATGATTGTGCTCTAAGAAAAAATAAGTAGGAATGAGCAAGACTCTGGGCTTTATTCATTGTTTTTGTACTGGGACCAGAAAAGGATTCAACTATGAGAACAAGCATTGCTCTCATTAATAAAAATAAAAGTCCCATTTGATGGGACTTACTGTGTGCCTGATACTGTGCTAAGTACATTACATACATTGCCTCATGTAATCCCCACAACTTGCAAAGAGGAATGATTATTCTCAGGAAAAGGAAACTAAGGCTCACGGTGGTTAAGTTACTTGCCTGAGGTTGCACAGCTTGTAAGTAATAAGTTGAGCCAAGGATTTGAACCCTGGCCTCTGACTCCAAAATCTCTGCTTTTGTTTATGTTGTCACATTTACCTATTCTCCATGATGTCTCTCTTTTCATGATAGCCCTGGGTATCAAGAGCTGTGACTTCCAGGCAGCAAGAAACAATGAGGAGCACCACACCAGAGCCATCAGCTCCCAGCGACTCATTGTGAGGAGGGGGCAGCCCTTCACCATCATCCTGCACTTCCGTGTTCCTGTCCGTGCGTTTCTCCCTGCTCTGAAGAAGGTGAACCTCGTTGCACAAACTGGTAAGTGGGACAGGCCTAGATGTCTTTGGCAGCAGGACTGAGGGTGTAGGGCTCTCTCTTTAGCACCCTCTTAGAGAAAAAGGCGCAAAGGGCCCAGACCACAGCTGGATCTTTTTCTTTTTTTGAGACAGAGTCTCACTCTGTTGCCCAGGCTAGAGTGAGTGCCATGGTGTCAGCCTAGCTCACAGCAACCTCAAACTCCTGGGCTCAAACAATCCTTCTGCCTCAGCCTCCCGAGTTGCTGGGACTACAGGCATGCACCACCATGCCCGGCTAATTTTTCTATATATTTTTAGCTGGTCAATTAATTTCTTTCTATTTTTTCAGTAGAGACAGTGTCTCGCTCTTGCTGAGGCTGGTTTTGAACTCCTGACCTTGAATGATCCTCCTGCCTTGGCCTCCCAGAGTGCTAGGATTACAGGCGTTAGCCACTACACCTGGCCCCACAGATGTGTCTTAACAAGTCCTATCCAGCCAGCAGGGGTGCTGTGAGGATGTCCCAAGATTGCATGTGTCATAAATATTGTTTATTATGACTCAGAAGTCACTTGGTGGTATTATCACTAAGGGATTCCTTTTGGTTGCAAATGTAATATCAGCTTTGTAGAAAACCGTGAATGGAATCTAATCCTGGCTAAATATAACATTTAATTGCTACTATTTATTCAGTCCATACTACATGTCAGCTATTGGGCCAAGTACATCACATGCAATACCTTATTCAGCCTTCACATGGGCCCCATGAAGCAGGTACTGTTATTGTGCCCACTTTATAAACTATGAGGCTGTTATAAACCTAGGTCCACAGGTGCCAAAAGCCTGTGCTCTCCCATCTCCCTGTGCTGTGCCTCATTACTGCATGGGCTTCTTTCATTCTCCTCCAAAACCAACTTTAACCTGCTCCATCTCCATAATACCCCGACTTTATTACTCTGAGTTGCGACCAAGAACTCCAAATGACCTCTTTATCACTATGTCACTGCAGGAGAGCAGCCTTCCAAGGACAACAGGACCCAAGCCACATTCCCGATTTCCAGTCTGGGGGACACAAAGTGGTGGAGTGCAGTGGTGATGGAGAGAGACACCCAGTCCTGTACCATCTCTGTGACCACACCCGTGGATGCTGTCATTGGCCACTACTCACTGCTGCTGCAGGTCTCCAGCAAGAGGCAACACCTCCTGGGCCAGTTCACGCTGCTCTTCAACCCCTGGGGTAGAGGTATGTTTGGACCTGGGCCAGCCTCGGTTGCACAGGGACTCAAGGCGCCAGGGCTGGGGCGCAGCTCTGGCAGGGAGCACCTGCCCCAGGCCCCTGTAGGCAGCCCCCTCTAAGGGCAGCTCCAGCACTCAGTCACAGTACTGCCTCCTCCCTGCATGCACAGGCTCCCAACCCCACGGCCCTGTCTGTGCAAAGCTCGAGTCTTACCACCAGCCCCTGGTGCTGGCTCAGGCTGTTTGGGTCAGGAGTTAAGACTCACTGCAGTGACTGTAGGAAAGCTCCCCTTTATTGTAACGGTAGAGGGGTGAGAACTAGAAAGGGCTTCAGGAATAAGGTAGCCTGAGAGATGGGCCTCTTGATTTCTCTCCAGTCTCCCCTAGTCTGTCTCCAGGGTGCATTCAGGTTGTGTAATTTGGAAGATCCTCTTTAAGAAAAAGAATATAAAATTGCGAATTGCTAAGGACCCCCCCACACACAGGGCCTGCAGGGACCTGTATCGGTGAGGGTCCTCATGCTTCAGCTGCAGCTTCAAAGTAAATCTACCCTATTTGTGATATCTTTGCTCCTCTCCACTTACTTGTTCTGTTCTTACTACAGATTGCTGTGTCCTCTCCATACTGACTTGTCCAAACATCTGCCTGGAGCCTTATAGCTTGCCAGTCTGTGGTGGGCTTTCCTGGGGCCAGGTGGCCTCCTGTGACCCAGTCAGGGGCCACCTCTGGCAAAGCTCAGCTCTAGCTGTGGCTGTGGCTATTTCATCTAGAAAGGACCATCAGATATGGTCAACTTGCCCAAAATAAGACCCAATGGAGCGTCTTCTCTTCCTTCCCGTTCTGAGGATTGAGTCTGTCTTTCCTTTTAATTTACTTTTTTTTTTTTTTTTTTTGAGAAGCCAGTCAATGTCTTTCCTTTTAAAATCTGCCTCACCCACCTTAACCCCTTCGGCTCCCTGCAGGGTCGATTGAGAGAATGGACGTTTCTCGTCCCAGCAACGCCAGACAAAGGCATAGCCTTTTCCTGTCAAGAGTTTCACTGCCAGCATGAAGGAGGCTCCGTTACAAGGCAGGGCTGGGAAACTGGCAGAAACATGGGAAAGTAAAAGAACCTTCCCAGGTTCTCACAGGTGGCCCCATGCCTGGACCCCAGTTCCTGACTGCCCTTCTCTGTAGCACCTGAACCCCAGTGGGCTCTCTCTCTCTGCACTGCTCTTGCCCAGGGTACAGTTAACCAACTCCCCGCCCCATCCTTTATATGCCCCACCCCAGCTCAGGCTGTTCTCTCTGCTCCAAGGGTATAGGCCGGTGGAACACTGGACGGGAACTAGTGTCCATTCAGAGCCCCCCAGCCCCAACCGGGTGAATGTGGACGCAGGCCTTTGGCTGGGAGGCCCTGTGGCTCCCACATACTGACAGAAGGACCTTCAAACCATTTCCCTCTAAAGCTGAGGCTTTGGCATACCTCTTAGCCAACTCTGAGTCCACATCCAGAGTTAGGCCCTGGTGACCAGAGCAAACACACAGCAAAGACAGTTCTGGACAGTGCTTGGTTCAGGGGTAACCCACAGTCGTGACTCCAGTGCCAGGACTCCTGCCATCGTGCTCAGTTCGTAGGGACTGCCTGGGGAGGCCTCGCTATATGAGTGTGTGTGGAGCAGGGATCATCAAACTTTTTAAACAGGGGGCCAGTTCACTGTCCCTCAGACCGCTGGAGGGCTGTTGGAGAGTGTGGCGCACATTCCACACATGCGCACTGTGGGCCCGGGACGAGTCGGCTGCAAAGCAGGACAGGCAGCGGCGGCAAAAACACCTGGCGGGCTGGATAAATGTTCTTGGCGGGCTGCATGTGGCCCGTGGGCCCTAGTTTGAGGACCCCTGGACTGTGGAGTATCTGTCTGGGCAGGAGTGAATTGTTGGCTCTGCTCATCTGGGAGGTTATTAAGAGATTTTCAGAGATTCTCTGACATATCAGTCTCAGCATAGTTGGAGATGGGGCTCTCCTGGATTCAAAAGAAAATTTTACATCATATAATGAAAGTCAAAGCCTTATTTATAGGCTGAGAACTTTATAAAAGCGGCTGCACCCAAGTGGAGAAGAGGAGGGCGGTGCTACCTGTACTCTCATAATGTACTTCCCAGAGGCCTGCAGATCCTGGGGCCAAACACCTCAGTTTGGCGTGATTTCCAAAGAGGTGATGCCTCGCTGACTTCACAGAGAGTACTCAGGATGGAAGGGCAGGAGTCGAGGGCTCCTGGGGCATATGGTTGTGTGATTTTAAGCCCCAGATTTTTCAGGACTTCCTGATTTGTAATATCCTGTCTTTGTGTTGCTTTGAAGTACTCTCAGCCCAGCTGGATACCTGGAAGTGACAGTTCAGAAATCCTTTTCTCTTTCTAGCCTCCAGGAACTAGTCCAACCACTCGGCCACCGGCTCAGAGCCATAGACCATAGGCGCTTGGCAGCTCCCTCTGCTGTCCCCAGCTTCCCAGAGTGAGTGATGGCCTCCTTAAAAATCACCCACCCTCCCCAGGATGTCCAGCCTGACCCTTGGATGACGAAAGCCGGAGGAAGAGACCACACACAGGAGTCCTAGGCCCACTTAGACACCCCCAGGGCAGAAATCCAATGCTCTTCTTACTTCCACTGCTCAACCCCACAGCTCCTCCTGACCGTCTTGCCAAATGCTCCTCTTCCCTCTGTTCACTCCTGTCAACCTACGCTTAACTATTTTTTTTCTGAAACACCTTTTTTTGGTCACAAATTAGATTTGTAGGAAAGACATACAGGGAAGCTGTATACATCATATAATGAATATATCATCATATAATGAAACATACAGGGAAGCTGTATGTCTTCCACTGGGAAGCTCCCTGGTTTTTGTCAATTTCTCTTGGGCAATTTCTCTCGCTCTCTGGCTGTACCTGTCTATGGGAAGCGACTAGGCTTTTTAAGGCTGGCTTGTTCCTGTCGGCCTAGCTGGCCCTGCAGGCCGCACTCTGATTCACCAGGGACCCTGGGCCAGGTCCCAGTGGGAGCCAAGGAAGAGGGACTTTCTCCTCGGTCTTCAGCCCAGAGCTGAGGGGAGGCCTGCAGCCAAACCTGACCCAGGCAACAGGGGGAGAGGTCTGGATGTAGAGGGCAGGCCTAGCACCCCACAGGCCCTCATCCCCCCGTTTCTCGCCAGAGGATGCTGTGTTCCTGGGGAATGAGGCCCAGCGCAGGGAGTACTTGTTGAACCAGAACGGTCTCATCTACCTCGGCACGGCTGACTGCATCCAGGCAGAGTCCTGGGACTTTGGCCAGGTACTGGGGACTTCAGGAGGGTAAGGGGGACAGTGGCTGTCCTATAACCTTCAATGTCCAGGCCAGATAGAGCTGGCAGGTCCAAAATCCCCCGGTGAGGAGGCCATTTCTTTAGCTCATGTCAGTCCTGTGGTGCCTCCCTTTCCTCTGGGCCACATCAGACCATCCTCCACAGCTCCCAGAGTTATCTTTCTAAGAACTGGGGCAAACCAAGTCTCTGTCAAATCCCCACTGTCTACAGCGGCAGTCCCCAACCTTTTGGGCACCAGGGACTGGTTTCATGAAAGACAATTTTCCATGAAACACGGGGCAGGGGAATGGTTTTGGGATGATTTAAGCGCATTACATTTATTGTGCAATCAAACCTCTCTGCTAATGATAATCTGTATTTGCAGCTGCTCCCCAGCGCTAGCATCACCACCTCAGCTCCACCTCAGATCATCAGGCATTAGATTCTTGTAAGGACCACAACCTAGATCCCTTGCATGTGCAGTCTACAGTAGGGCTCACGCTCCTATGAGACTCTAACGCTGCTGCTGATCTGACAGGAGGTGGAGTTTATGCAGTGATGTGAGTGATGGGAGGTGGCTGTAAATACTGATGAAGCTTTGTTCACTCCTCAGCGCTCACCTCCCGCGTGCGGCCTGGTTCTTAAGGGACCACAGGTCCACAGCCTGGGGGTTGGGGACCACAGGTCTACAGGATAAAGACCCAATCCCTGGCTGGACACTAAGGGCTCTTCCAGCCACGCCCCTGCTTTCCTTTCCCATGAACCACCCCACGCTCCAGCTCCTCCTGTCCTTGGAACCCCAGACTGAACATTCCCTCTGGCTGGAATAGCTTATCTCCCTTATCTCCTGGCAAACTCCTACCTGTCACTTAAGACCTTCTAGAAGCCTTCCCCACCTTCAAAGGCAGAGGGAGTCTCTCCACTGTGCTCCTGCTCTGTGTTGGCGTCTGTACCACAGCCCAGGTCACGTTGCTGTGATCTGTAATCTAAGGGGCTGCGTGCCCGTCTCCAGCCCTAAACCGTGGCCTCCTCAAGAGCAGGAGCTGCCTTGGTAACCTCCACACATAGGTCAGAGCCGGCGGGAGCAGCAGAAGTTTGCTAAATGGAAATGAAATGAAACACAGCCGCGTAGCGTGGGTCCTTGAGAGCTCACACTCTACTGGGAGAGTCAGACAACAGAATGGGCCAGGGACTGCATGCCCAGGCACAGGGACCAAGTGGGAGGGAGAGAAAAGCCAGGGAGGAAGGTGTGGAGCCCGGGCCTAGGAGAAGGACGAAATGATGGGGCTGTCTTCTGCTGTCAGTGCTTGACCTGGAGACCCTTCATCATGGCCCTGTGTGTTCCTTCCAGTTCGAGGGAGATGTCATGGACCTTAGCCTGGGCTTGCTGAGTGTGGACAAGCAGGTGGCAGAGTGGAGCCAGCCTGTGCACGTGGCCCGTGTGGTGGGCGCCTTGGTGAGTGAGAGGTCGGGGGGAGCCAGAGTGGGGAGGAGATGAGACGAGAGCCCTCTGACAGACCTGCCCCACCCCTGCAGCCCTGGAAATCCTCAAGTCACAAATGGCCCTCCTGCTAGGGTATGAGGGACAGTCCCCATGAAGGTTATGAGTGAGGAGGGGAAAGAACAGACAATGGCATCCACAGGGGCAAGAAAAGCAAAAAGAAGAATCATCTTTTAGGACAAAAGCCAGCCGAGGACTAAACCTGCCTTGACCCTTCAGAGCACTCTTTTCCCTTCTCCTTGACCCCACCCCAGCCTGCAGGCTTAGGTCCTGGGGAAGGAGGGCATAGTGTCCATCTCACCCCATGCTTGCTGCTATGGTGATCAAAGGAACTTGTTGTCATTTCTAAATTATTCCTAAGAAAATGCAGACCACGAGGGTAAGATGGTGCTTTGCCCTGTCCCTACTCCTTTCAGAGCAGTAATGTTTTCTCCATTTCCTCCTGTGCCTCTGAAGTCCCCACTAAAAAAACTGGTGAGAGTCAAGGCCAGCCTGGGCATGGGAGAAAGCCTGGGACAAGCAGCCTCCAGGACCCAAGTGTGGACCACCTCAATAGAGTCAGGGCCAGTGAAAGCAGCTCCCAATGAGGGGCAGCTCCCATGCTCCTTCATGGCTGTAGCTAAAGGATTGTTAAGGAATCCTGGGGCCAGGTATGGTAGCTCATGCCTGTAATCCTAGCACTCTAGGAGGCCGAGGCGGGCGGATCACTTGAAGTCAGGAGTTCAAGACCAGCCTGAACAAGAGCAAGACCCCGTCTCTACCAAAAATAGAAAAAATTAGCCGGGCATGGTGGCACATGCCTGTAGTCCCAGCTATTCAGGAGGCTGAGGCAGGAGGATTGCTTGAGCCCAGGAGTTGAGGTTGCTGTGAGCTAGGCTGACGCCACGGCACTCTAGCCTGGACAACAGAGCGAGACGCTGTCTCAGAAAAAAAAGGAGGAATCCTGGGCCCCAGCCCTAGAGATTATAACCTAGCGGGCCCAGCATGGCGCCCAGAAACAGGCAGATTTAACAAGTGCCAGGTGACTGATGCAGGTGGTCTGTCATCACAGCTCCCCAGGCATGGTGAATGGACCACCCGCCTCAGTCCCCATCCCCGGGAAGCTGTCCTGCTCTGGGGACTCACACACTGACATCCACACATTTCCCCAAACAGCTGCGAACTCTCAAGGAGAAGTGTGTCCTGCCCACACCGCAGAGCCAGGACGCCCAGGAACGGGCCTTGCTGAACAAGCGCCGGGGCAGCGTGCCCATCCTGCGGCAGTGGCTGACGGGCCGAGGGCGGCCTGTGTACGATGGTCAGGCATGGGTGCTGGCCGCTGTTGCTTGCACAGGTACAGAGCAGCGATGCACAGGTCGGTGGTCACCTTGGCTACTGAGCAGAGTGCCTGCCCTGCATCTTGGGTTGTCCCTTAGCCTCTTACGTGGGAGGGACATCTCCAAAAGCTGCCTCCAATCCGCAGTGTTTCCCCAGCTTTGTCACACCCATGAGCACTTACTTGTCCCAGGCAGCTCCTCCCCACCAGCTTCTGCTCCTCTGCCCTCAGTGAGTCAGGCCCATTTGCACACTCTGCTCCCAAACTCATTTTCCCCCTAAAACCTTCCCTGCCCCTGCCCCAGCAGAGCAAACCCTCAGTGCTCTGTTATATATTCGTAACCCTCTCCCCACTATAAACTCTCCACACTGTGTCACTTGTGGCTTATTTGTCCACCTTTATACATCCTGTTCTTGGCTGTCAGTCCTAACCCCCTGGTGCCTGTACCCCTCCTCCGTCCACAGCGTCATCCAGCATTTAAGGCAGAGCCTGCGCAGGGGAGACACTGAAAACTCTAGCCGTACGTACTCACCCAGGCCAGGTCTCTGTGCCCCCCTGACCCTCGCCCCTGTTCACACAGTGCTGCGGTGCCTGGGAGTCCCCGCGCGCGTGGTGACAACGTTCGGCTCGGCCCAGGGCACGGGTGGGGACCTGTTGGTGGACGAGTACTACAATGAGGAGGGGCTGCAGAACGGAGAAGGCCAGAGAGGCGGAATCTGGTGAGAAGCCTGAAGGAGAGGAGGTTGCAGGCCAGGAAGGGCTCCACTTCTGCTTGATATACGGAGGGGGACCCCACTCTCCGAGTGGCCCTGACCCTGGGAATAGGCTTTCAGGACGCCGCGAGGCAGGTGCCAACGGTCAGTCGTGGAGTGCATGCCTCTTCCTGGGAGTGTTGCAGCCACTTTTACACGGTGTCCTCCCATCCCATGGTAACAACAACTCTGCCAGGCTGCATTTCTAGAACCTCTTCAGCATCCTTTTTTTCCCCATCTGAAGTTTTCCCTGTGCTACATTCAGGATCTTCCAGACTGCCACAGAGTGTTGGATGACCCGGCCTGCTCTGCCCCGGGCGTATGACGGATGGCAAATTCTGCACCCAAGTGCTCCCAGTGGAGAAGGTAAAGCCTGGGGGTGGGGCCAGGACACTCAGGGCTGCTCAGAGCTGCGAGAGCTGAAGGAGCCCCTCCGAGAGGAAACAGGAGCAGCGGGCGGTCCAAAGGGAGGCTGCATCCTCCAGAACAGGAGAAGCAGAAGGAAAGATCATGGCCAGCCAAATACTGACCCAGTGCCAGTGGGCTCAAGGGAATAAAGGTGATGGCCATATGGCAACAAGGCTGTGAGGTGACTAGGCCCACCTTAGAGCAATGGGCCAAGGAGCTGAGTCTCAATGAAGGGCAGAGGGTCTGAGTGGTTAGTGGAGGTGGTGGGCCAGGGGCTTGCAAGGTGAGGCTTCTGAGGTTTTAGACATGGATGAGGAAGGTATCAGAATAGGCTCAAACTCAGAGAAGGAAACTTCAGGACCCACAAAATGATAGCTTTTCCTCACCTAAGAGGAGCAATGTCACAGAGCCTGGCACCTAGTAAGTGCTCAAGAAAGCTGAACTATTCCTATCATCAGCAGTAGAGCTGGCTTGGGAACTCCCTGCGCTAAGTGTGTTCCTCTGAGGTTCTACCTGTGCAGTTCCTGAGAGGGCTTCCACCACAGGCCATGACCAAAAGTATTATCATGAGATGGTTGTGAGCCTCACCTCTGTGATAGTCCCTCAGAGACCCTGCCTGTGCCCACCTCTGACCCTGGTCCCTGGGAGGCAGAACAGGGTACAGGATGGGGTTGGAGGTTATGCAACTCTGAGCTGAGCAGAGGTCTGGGTGTGGCTCCTTTGCTCACTGACTGTTCTCTCCTTCAGTCCCTGGGTTCTGTGATCTGGTCCCAGTCAGAGCAGTCAAGGAGGGGACACTGGGGCTGACCCCTGCAGTGCCAGACCTTTTTGCCGCGGTAAACGCCTCATGTGTGGTCTGGAAGTGCTGTGAAGACGGGACACTGGAGCTGACTGACTCCAACACAAAGTATGTTGGCAACAACATCAGCACCAAGGGTGTGGGCGGTGACCGCTGCGAGGACATCACTCAGAACTACAAGTATCCTGAAGGTACTGGTCAGGGAAGGGCCACAGGCCTCTCAGCACCTAGAACAGCAAACAGCAGGAATGGATGGTCCAGACAGATGCAGGCCAGAAAGAGTCCCAGTCCCTCCCCATCACATAAAACAGCGTTTCTCAACCCTGCTTGATGTTACTGGCATTTCGTTCCAAATGAATCTTTGTTGTGAAGGGCTGTGCATCCTGGGACATTTGGCAGCATTCCTGGCCTCTACCCATGAGATGCCACCACCCCCCACCACTACTACCACTACTTGTGACAACCAAGAATGTCTCCAGACATTTCCAAATGTCCCTTGCATGGGGGAATTGCCCTCAGTTGAAAACTATTGCTATAAAGCAATACACTTAAGACCAAGCCCAGCTTCCAGAAGACTTTTGATGTTGCCTATCTCTCCATCCCCTCCAACATCCCCAAACCTGTTCCTCCATGTCAGTTAATGGCACCACCAGCCACCTATGGTCCAAACAGGAAGGCTCACACCGCCCTGGCGTCTTCCTGCTTCACAGCCCCGTGCTGTCCTCACGTCTGTCCCTGTTCCCTTTCCACGCTGCTGGTAAAGTTAATCCAGGGCCTCACCCTCTCTTGTCTATGGGACTGCAAGAGCCTCCTAACTGGTCCCCTGCCTCCAGTCTCTCCATCATCATTCCATTTCCAACTTTCAGTTTCCAGAATGAGCTTTCTAAGGCTCAAATGTCATTAATGGTATTCCCCTGCTCCAGAATATTCCATAGCCCCCACTGTCCTTGGAATAAATCCAAATTCTTTTGCATAAGAAGATTGAATTCTCTGCAAAACTGTCCTCAGAAACAGTGTTGACTTGTCCCAAAACTTGCTCTCTCTCTCGTCATTAAAGGAACAGATTCATAGCACTTGAAAAAGAAATTTACCCTTGAGTGGCTTGGAAGAGAGACACTGTATCTATCTATGGTGGATCTGCCTAACACAGACCTTTTTGGGCTAAATATGGCCTTGGAAGAGAAATACTGTATCTCTCTATGGCAGATCTGCCTAACACAGAACTTTTGGCCTTAAATATGGCCTTAAAGGTTTGCAAAGCTCTAGTGACTTTGGCATTTGAGTAGAAGTGGGTAAATGACTTTCAATCCTGGGTTTTTATTAGAAGGGTCTATACTTGCTGGCTAAGAGGCCTGCTTTGTTTCTTCTGCTCTCTAGGATCTCTGCAAGAAAAAGAGGTGTTGGAGAGAGTCCAGAAAGAGAGAATGAAACATGGGAAAGACAATGACATCCATCTTCCCCATCCCGAGAGTGCTGATCCTTTGTACCTATTCTTGGAAGCACCCAGCTCTCTACCCCTGAGAGGAGATGCTCAGCTCTCAGTGATCCTGGTTAACCCCAGTGACCAGGAGAAGGTGGTGCGGCTGGCAATTGCAGTCCAGGCCGTGCACTACAATGGCGTCCTTGCTGCCAAGCTCTGGAGGGAGAAGCTGTCCCTCACGCTCAGTGCCAACCTAGGTAACATTCTTATGTCCCTACCAGAAACTTCCCACACCCTTGGCTCTTGCCTTGGGCAGGCAGCAGAGCACCCCAGAGTTCCCTAGAACAGTCACAGAGCACTGACCACAGGTATCCAGAGATGGCTTTTAGCCCCTGGTGCTCACACTCACGTTCTCTGTCTTTCTCATTCAATCATTCAACACATTTTTGGGCCCAACATGGGAAAAAGAAAACAATTCCAGCTACAGTCAGCTAAGTCAGCTAAGTCCAGCTAACAGTCAGCAGGCCCTTCATAGCAGTGTGAGAAGCGTTTGCTGAGGTAAACAGAGTACAATGGCAGGAAAGCATCTCGCCCAGGCTGGAACAGGCTGCCCCCAAATAAATCATACTGCAATGAGTCTGGAAGGATGAGTAGGAGAGTAATAGAAAATTCAGTCACGACAATCCACACAGAAGGAACAACATGTGCACAGGTCCCTCTTCCTCCCTGAGATTCTCATTTAATCCGTCTGGGATGGGGTCCAGGCATTGGTATTTCTTAAAACCTCCCTATGTTACTCCAGGGATGAGATTCCCTGGATCAGAGCACTGGCTCTCAGACTTTGTTCCACATTAGAATCACCTGGGGAAGTTCAATGATCAGCCTGCATCCCAAGCCAACTTAATCAGACATTCCACGATGGAACACAAATATCATAATGTTTAAAAACTCCTCAGGTAATTCCAATGTGCAAGCAAGTTTGAGAGCCAGGGAACTAGAGCTTGTCAACAGGATTGCAGCATCCTCCTAACCAGTGCCCCTGCCTCCAGTCTCTGCATCCTTATTCCCTTTCCAAGCACAGGAGGAGTGGAGCAGGGCAAGTGGCGTGAGAGCTGGGCAGGGCCCGGGTCATGCAGGGTCTTGTATGACATGCTAAGGAGTTTGAGTTTTGTTTTCTGGGTCATAGGGAGCTGATGAAAGGTTTTAAACAGGAGAGTCAATGTGATTGGGAATCCATTTTAAAAAGAACTTCTGGCAGAATGGAATGGAAGGGGTCATATTACAGTAGTGGTTCTTAACCCTGGCTGCACATTGAATCACCTGGGGAACTTTAAAAATACTAATGCCTGGGCCTCACCACCAGAGTCTGATGTAACTGATTAGGGGTGCAGCCTGGTATTGGGATTGTATTATAAAGCTCCCCATTTGATTCTAATGTGCATCCAATGTTGAGAACCATTGAATTGGATGTTGGAAGGTTTTGTAATAATTAAGCCAAATAAAATGAAGGCTAAACTAAACTAGCAGCACTTAGAGTTAAGATAAATTAAGGAAGTGGGATAGATTGGACTTGTGAATGTGTGTGGAGCAGGGTGGTTCTGGTTTGGGTGAGCCGCTAGAATGGGGAAAATGGGGAAGAAATGGGTTTGGGGAGAAAGTGATGAATTTGGTTGTGGCACGTGTTTGAAAGCCCATGAAACATCCAAGCAGAGATGACCAGTAGGCAGCTGGAAACCTAAATCTGGTATTTAAGATAAAGCCCTGGGCAGGAGATAAGACATAGGAATCCCAGCACAGAGGGGGCCGCCAAGAATCAGGGCATGGATGAGCAAGAGGGTGAGGAGGGAACCCGGCAGCACCCGCATTTAGCGGGTAGTCAGGGAAAGAGCAGAGAGTGAGGGAGACCAAGAAGTCGAAGGGAGGAAGGGAGCACCCAGCAAAGTCAGCAGAGAGGTCTTGAGCTGTCAAGGCTGAAAAGCGTCCATTGAGAGGGTGGCCTTGCCGAGAAGCAAAGGTGAACACCAGCTTCCTGGGCGTTAAGCAGATTGAGTGGTGGAGGTGAGACAAGCTGTTCACTCCTTCCTGGAAGCATGGCAGGAAGAGGTGAGGCTGGGTGGTAGACAGCCAGGGACGCTGGGCAGAGGGAGGGTGTCATGTTTTTGAGATGAGAGACAGCTGAATCTGCTTACACGCTGAGGAAATGCATGCATGGAGGGCAAGACTGAAGCCTCAGGTGAGATAGGTAATACGTGATAGTTTGACCCCTAGGGAATAGAAACATAACTAGAATAATTACAGCTCTCATGCATGGAGCACTTACTATTTGCCAGAAATGGCATTAAGTGTTTTCTATGCATCATATTCTTAATCCTCACAACCACCTTATGAGGCCAGAACCATTACTGTCCCCACTTTACCAGTGAGGAGGAGACAGAGAGGTTAAATCATTTGCCCCAGGTTACACAGTTAATCAGAGGCGAGGCCAAGATGGGGCACAGATTTAAAAAGCAAGGACTCAACTTGGGCGGGGGACGCCTGGTCCCCCGAGGGGGGAGATAGCAGGAGGAGATGTCCATGTCTGTAGGTTGGAAATGGGAACGTGAGCTTGAGAGGATTCCTACTTGATGGCTTCATTTTCTCTGCAAAAGGGAAGGAGGAGAAGCAGAGAATGGAAAGGAGCTAATGAGCATATATTTAGCAACTATATGTGGCTTGTTCTGAAATGAGCACTTGATTTGTAGTATCTTGTTTAACACAAACCATCCCACTAGAAAGGCATTGTTATTAGATGAGAACGCTGAGGCCCAAAGAGCTTAACTTGGTCTAGTTCACAGGGACCCTCCCACAACCCCATTGAGGTGACCTGCCAAGAGCACAAGAGGTGGCTTGTTTCTGGGGTATGTACATTCACCCCTTGACACTGACCCTGCCTGTCATGTGTTTCAGTTAAGAGAATAACCACCAGCCTGTCCTTCTCCTATTTTGAGCAAAACCCACCTGAGAACAGCTTCCTCAGACTCACCGCCGTGGCAACGCACTCTGAGTCCTGCCTTAGCTGCTTTGCTCAGGAAGACATTGCCATTTGTAAACCACGCCTTGCCATCGAGGTAGGCGCCAGTCTTTCTCTGACTTACTCTCATCTGCTACCACTCAGGTCCCGATTTCAGAAGAAATCTGAGCTCCTTAAGCTTTAGAGCAGATGTTCATGCTGCAGGATTGCCAGAAAATGCTAGGCTTGAGAACTTATTCTCTTGGAAGTGATGGTTTCTTACATATACTCTTAAGGTTCAAATCTTCCAACTTCTTTAGTTGGTTAAGTAAAGATTTCTAAAATTGCGGCCTTCCCAGCTGCTGCCTCCATACTTTCAGGGATAATAATAGCCTATGTTTATTTAGTGTTTTATATATGTGCCAAAGGGTTTTCACCTCTCATTTCTTTTAATACAAAAGCCATGTGAGGCGGCACTGTTCCCATTACTCAGATGAAAAAACTGTGTTCTAGAGAGCAACATGCCCAAGATCATAAAAACAGGAAGTTCTAGAGGCTTATGCTCTTGCTCCAGCCCTCTTTCCATATGTCTATCCTGGCCAAAATGAATGAGATCTGGTCCCTGCCCTCAGGGAGGTAACAGTTTGGTCTTCTATGTAAGTGCTTTAACAGAGGTCCAGAGTCACTATGGGATAAGTGAAGCAAAGTGGATTAATTCTAGCTGGTGGGTTTGGGGATGAATTTATGAAGGATGCTACCCTTACGGTGGGCCCTGAAAAATGGGTGTGCTTTCAGTGCAGAGGTTGGGGAAGGCCACTGAAGGCAGAAGACTGAGCAATGAGGTGCAGAGGAAGGAGCCTGAGCAGTGTGCTGGGGATGGGAAAGCCTCTGGTGTGGCTGGGATGTCTTTTAGTCAAGGAAAGAAGGGGTGAGGCTGGAGAGGTGGGTTGGGGGCAGACGGTGAAGTACCCTGAATGCAACCCAGGCTGAATTCCAGAGTCACTGGGAAACTCTCCAAGATTTCTAAGCAGAGGAGAGGCACCATCAGAGATTGTCAGTGATGGATCAAGGGTGAGAATAAATGCAGACACATCAGGTACAGTGATAAGGAAGTCAGCTGTGGAGTTTGGGTTAGTTTGGCAGATTTGAGGAGTACTCGAGGAGGGTACAGGGTTATACAGGAGGGGTGAGAGTGACTCCAGCTCTGTGCCCTTGGCATTCACTCCAAGTGTCACCTCTTCCACAGATGCCAGAGAAAGCAGAGCAGTATCAACCTCTTAAGGCCTCAGTCAGCATCCACAATTCCCTGGATGCCCCCATGAAGGACTGTGTGATCTCCATCCGTGGAAAAGGGCTCATTTACAGAGACAGGAGCTACAGGTAAGAGACCACAAGCTTCTCATCCCACCAAGATATCTCAACTGGTCAGAAAGGCAGAAACCCAAAATTAATAACTGTCTGTCTGCCATGTCCATGGAGACAGAGCAAATAGCCCCAGAAGTTGAACTAAAGAATTAGGGGTACCAAATGACCTCTCTCATCCTGGGATCACTATGTCTACAGGTGGATGGGAGTGAGGGAGGCCGTGTGGGCCTCTTGGGTAGCCACTTAACCCTGGTTGCTGACCTGGATATGCAGGAAGAGCCTGGGTACTGCTGGTAAATGCAGATGAGGGGGTTAAGGCTGGTACTAGAGAGTATTGAAGGGAAGATAGGCTACCTCTCAGTGTTATTGGAGAGCTGCATTCTATTAGTCACACCACAATGTACAATTTTATTTATTGTGGCATTTGTTCGCATTCCCACTACCACCCTTCATATCCTTTTGTTAGTCTCTGTAAAATGTGTACTGTTGCTCCATGAGCCTGTAGATTTAACTTACATAAATGCATGTCTAATTGTTCTTTTCTCTCAGAACTATGTTCTTCACATCCCCACATGTCAAGTCCATCACTTCCACTACATAACATCCCATTGTGTACATCAACCACTTCCTATCACTCTTCTCCACAGTGATTGGCACCCAGAGTGCCTCCAATTTTCTGACACCCCAAATAATGTTGCAGTGCACGTCCTCACACAGGTCCCCATATTTGTTTGCAACTTTGGTGAAGTCAGGGGATACATAGGCCCAGGAACAGAATTGCAGGGTCATAGGAAATAACGTGGTTTGACCAGGTATATTGTTAGATTTATTTGCAGAGTGGCTGCAGCAGTCTACACTCCCTCCTGAAGTACATATACTCCTCTCTCTCCTCCACTCCTGGCAACACCCAGATTTCTATTTTCTTCTACTCCAATAGAAATAAAGCAATATCTATTGTTTTAATTTGCAAACCCTTCATGTATTTGTCAGCTTTATTCATTTCCTCCTCTATAAATAGTTTGTCCTTATCTTTGCCCACTTTTATTCTGGTGTTCTTGCCCTTTTTTCTTATTAATTTGTTGGAGTTCCCTCTATATTGTAGGTATTAGTCCCTTGTTAGTTTGAGATGTTGCAAATATCTTCTTTCATCATGTCCACTGCATGCTTAGTTGAATACCCAGTACACAGTTTAAAATTCAAGATACCTACTCCTACTGTCCATGAGGTCCCTAGCAGGTGCCTTAGCCTCATGAAACTCAATGAGTCACTCCTGTCAATAAGTCAAGAGGAGGGACTGCCAGCATTCAACCAGACTTTTCTTTCTCCTAGATCAATTGCAGGGCAAAGCTCCTCAAAGGAAATCTGCACCATTCCCTCAGTTACCAAAAGGTCTACAGGTAGGCCAGGAGGTTGCTGATAGAGGCTCCAAACATCACCTGCTGACATACTGACATCCTCTCAACATGCCTGCTGCACCGAGCTTAGCAATAAGCAAGGGTTCCTAAGCTACAGCCTTTCCAAACATATCCCAGGACTATTACCAAGACTTGAACCAGGCTGAAATCACAGATGATAAACGTAAAAACAGATGCAGCTTAGAAACCCTTAGGATGTGTCTCTTCTCAACCATGCAATTGCTTAGCATAGGGAGGCTCCTGTCTTCTATAGCCTTATGACCACCTGTATTTTAACAGCAAGGTACTTAGATGTTTATTTCTGCGTGGTCCACCTCTTCAAACAGAGAAGGATCAAAGTCACTGGGACCAGCGGAGTGATGAACCCGGGACAGAACTAGCGCCTGCCTTTTCCTTTATTTCAGACTAGGTTCAGTGCGGCCTGGAAACACCGTGTGCACCCAGTTCCAGTTCACGCCGACACACGTGGGATTCCAGAGGCTCACTGTGGAAGTGGACTGCAACATGTTTCAGAACCTAACCAACTATAGAAGTGTCACTGTGGTAGCCCCTGAACTTCCAGCTCTACCATCACTCTCCCAAATCAACCCTTGAAGTTACAATCTAAAACCAAACATGGGCTAGAAAGAGAAACTGTGTCTCAGTCCCTTTGTGTTGTTATAGTGGTATACCTGAGGCTGGGCAGTTTATAAAGAAAAGAGGTTTATTTGGCTCACAGTTCTGCAGGCTGTATAAGAAGCATGGTGCTAGCATCTGCCTTTGGTGAGGGACTCCAGCTGCTTCTACTCATGGTGGAAGGCAAAGGGGAGGCAGTGTGTGCAGAGATCACATACAAAAAAGGGAGAAGGGGAGAGGTGCTAGGCTCTTTTTAACAACCAGCTCTCTCAGGAATCAATACAGTGAGAACTCATTACCATGAGGGCACCAGGCCCCTTCATGAGGGATCTGCCCCCATAACCCAAATACTTCCCATTAGACCCTACCTCCAACATTAGGAATCAGATTTCAACATATTTAGAAGGTCAAATATCCAAACTATAGCACTCTGCTTATCAGACAAATGAGTCTCCATTCAGGTTGCACAGAAGAGTGACCAGGAACAAAACTAGATTCCCAGAAATGAATACATAAGGCATTTATTTCTGTCACCTCAGCTTAAGGCTGCCATGAAGACTAGTTGTCTTAGGCCAGGCACAGTGACCCATGCCTGTAATCCTAGCACTCTGGGAGCCTGAGGTGGGAGGATTGCTTGAGGTCAGGAGATTGAGACAGGCCTGAGCAAGAGCCACACCTCATCTCAACTTAAAAAAAAAAAAAAAAAAAATTAGCCAGGAGGCTAAGGCAGGAGGATCACTTGAGCCCAGGAGTTTGAAGCTACAGTGAGCTATGACACCACTGCATTCTACCCAGGGCGACAGAGCGAGTTTTCTTAGAATAGAAACTACTGAGATTGAGTGACAAAAGGAAGCCTTTGAAAAGGTATCAAATACCTTTTCAGAGTACCTTCAGATTTGGGGGGTTCAGGGTTTTCATAACCATTTTACTGCTCATTAACACATTCATTAACTTACAGGTCAGGGAAAGGACCTAACATTTAAATCATTCTTATATTTATGATAAAGTGGGACAATATTAGCCAAAAATGGAACTTTCAGGTAATCTAAAATTACATTGATCAATGCTATTATCTTTATCTTTAAAGATCCAAAAATGACTAAATGAAGTTATAAAATATATGACATAGGACCTAAGAGAATTATTCAGCTATAGATAAATCTTTGGTCGAGTTCTATATGTATTAAGTATCCCACAAGTAAAGTCTGATAGTAATAACATGAATTTGGTCCAGTAGAGAAATATACAAATTATTAAGTATATTAAAAAAAATAGGCTCTATTTATAAAGTATAAAAGAACTAGACTCCTTCTGTACAAAGTTATGATTTTTTAAATGTTATTTTGTTGCTTTGGCACTCTATCAGTTTGATTTTAGTTCCTTCTGACACTTGCTAAAAGTACTGAATAGCACTTTTAAAAAGTAAATTAAAACTGATTTGGATTAAGGAACTTCAACCCCAAGTATACAGTCGGTCACTCAAAAGAATAACTGCTGTTGTTGATTATGTCTGAAGAGATCAGAAAGGCAGATGTGGTAAATTACAACCATAGAGGGAAGAGGACTGGCACTGGAGATGGTGGAGACCTGTAGTACATGTATAAGGTCCAATTCAGGTCACCAGAATATATGTCACTACAGGTTTACCCTGTTTTCCAAGATGTAATATTCTAGACTGATGCAAAAATATAATTCAGTGGCGATGCTTACGCAAAAGGATTAACTAAAAGGGCTCTCAAAATTATATAAACCCTTACACATTAAAATTTTTTGATTTATAAAACTTTGGTATATTTGGGGACACATGTAACAGAGTAACAGGGGACACATGTAAGTATGTATAAGGAAAACAAATTTGTTCAATAAGGTGGACAAATGTAACAAGCAAGCTCAATACCAGTATATTTTAGAGGCACAGAGTAACCTGGGATAATATTCAGAAGGACTTACTGATAATAATAATATTACATAACATGGTGAAATACTAAGTGGGGCTTTGGAGTTATCTTTTCTAAATAAATTTAAGTGTTTTTGTTCTAAATATACTTCTGATCAGAATCAGATCTTTAGACCTATAAAACTAAATGAAAGCAATGTTCTAGTCTCAATCCACTGTATTTGTGGTAGGAAGAAACTCTGGAAGGGTACTTACTCATTTAATCACCAGCCAGTAAGCATTTTATTGACACCATCAACATCTTTAACAATGAAAACAACATACTTTATTGCAAATAAGGAATAAGGCAGCTTCCCTAGGAATCGCTGGAAAGCCATTCAGAACACAAACCCATGCAATTAGTTTTTGTATCTAGCACAGAAAAATATATTATACTCATATGGTTTATAAATAATTTCCAGTCTGGCCTAGCCAACAGTCTTTGGCAATAGTGCACTTTCGATCCAGCAAGCATTCTAGTTCCATTTCAAAAGCAGACATCAGAGCCTGGCTGTGACAGTGAGATAGGGAGAGGGGAGAATACAAATAAGCCTGAACTCATAATTCAAGTTCACCCTGAGTGAGTTCCTTGATTCTGTTCATGCAATGATCAACAGCATTAATAAGTAAAGGAATCCAACTATCTTCTGGCTGAGGGGTCACATGACTTGCTCTGTGAATGGAATAGGAAAAAAAGTTAAATTTATTATAGTGTCAAAGGAAAACTTATCTTCAAGAGGGAGCACAGAGGAAACTACAGCTCAAAAAAAAAAAAGGCAAGGCCAGGCGCAGTGGCTCACGCCTGTAATCCTAGCACTCTGGGAGGCCGAGGCGGGCGGATTGCTCGAAGTCAGGAGTTTGAAAGCAGCCAGAGCAAGAGTGAGACCCCGTCCTCTACTATAAATAGAAAGCAATTAATTGGCCAACTAATATATATAGAAAAAAAATTAGCCGGGCGTGGTGGCGCAAGCCTGTAGTCCCAGCTACTCGGGAGGCTGAGGCAGCAGGATCTCTTGACCCCAGGAGATCGAGGTTGCTGTGAGCTAGGCTGATGCCACGGCGCTCACTCTAGCCTGGGCAACAGAATGAGACTCTGTCTCAAAAAAAAAAAGCAAGATTCTTTGCAGAAACTCAGCTGCTCCACAACAAAAGTTGTGGAAAAAAAGCCCCATACCCACTCTTTCCCATTCCTTCAAACTGGGGCTTGGGAGTTGAGAGCAATTGGACAGGAACTCAGTTTTATTCTCAAAAAGCTATCTGAGGAAAAGTCCTCATACTTACTTTGTAATTTCAAGTGCCTTCTTTAAAACAGATACAAGTTTTGCAGACTAGAAAAGAAACATAGAAGTTACTCACTTTGAGCCCTACCATAAAAAGGAGAGCTCAAATATTTTAAAAGATCTAAGTAATTAAAAAAAAAATCATTAAAAAAAGAACCTTGAAGGAAATATGCAAAAACAAAAATGCTGATTAAGTGAGGGTAGCAGGATTATGGATTCTTTTCTATTTAGCAAAGTCTCATTAGTACTATTACTATAACATTTTTATAAGTTTTTTAAATTTAAAATATTTTTAATTAAAAAAAGAACAGAAAAAGAATTTAGAAACTGAATTTGTCCCAACTGCTGAAAGCTCAGAATATAAAGCAGAAATGACTAATGTTCCTTTTTTTTAAAACTACGTAAAGAGTTTTAAGAACACTAATACCAAGATAACATGGAGCTGTATGTGTGCCACTACGATACTACACACATATAGTATACATTTTAAAATTGCTACAGTAAATATTATGTTTGAGATAGTTGGCAAGGCATATTGCTAAAGATGCTTATTTTTTAGGAAGTCGATTTTTAAAAAGTTAATGTAAAAAAAAAAAATGTTAATGCCAAAAAGAATCCTATTCTACTTCAAGGGATTTGTACACCATGAAGATACATTTGATGAATCTAATTTCCACTATCTAATTTATCAAATATTATTAGATTGATACATCTGATCATAAAATATAAGCCATTTGGGTGTTTTACTGCTTTTTTCAATAACATTAGAGATAAGAACTGGAGTTTATAAAAACAACGGAACTCTGTCTTGTAAAGGGAACAGCACTTGTAAGAAGATAATAAAATTAGATTTTTATAAAGAGCTTGACACTTCATGGTTAAATCACACAATGTGCTTATATTAGAACAGAGTATGTTTCTGGAATACTTCTGCTTACACTAGAAATTAGAAATTTGTGACTTCAGGTTAAGAGTTTCCTAAAACATCATGTAATTAAGACTTTCTTCTCAAAGCAGTATTTTCTAAGGTTTTTTGACTTTTCTAAATGATTACCCAAGTGGTTATGGAAGAGAAAACTACCAAAACTTAAGGCTATTATAATTCAACTTCAGCAAATATTCATCAAGCACAAATGCATGCAGGAACTATGACATTACACTGTTGCATTTGCATACAAATGTGACAAATAAATATGTACCCTATAACTTAGAGGAAATACTAATGATTAGTGAAATTCTACCCGTTAGGTCTGTAGCTATTCCCTCAAAGCCAGTACTTACATTGATTCGCACAGTCAGGTGGCACATAGGTGGATATATGCTCAGAGCCAAATCATCCACACTAAGAGCAGAAAACAAAAATAACCATTAACCAAAAATGGAACAAAGCTCAACCAGCTTGTTTCCTGTATACAACTGTGTATGCAACTACCAAGAAACTTCCCAGAAATGCCTATCAGTTCCTTAAATTGGGCAACTGGGCAACCAACACAGAATGAATTCAATCAGTATTTACTGAAACCTACCCCATTTCACTAGAAAGCTGGGAGAAAACACTCCTTTGCTTCACAGGAGGGGCATGATTAATTCAGTCAAAAATGTGAAGATGTGAAATCATCAGTTTAATAACTGATACAGGCAGGGTTCATCAATGGAACTTAAAATTGTTGGGGAAAATGTCCCTTTACTAAAGCAGGCACAACTTTAACAAAGTGATAAAATTTAGTACCATCAATAATGGAACAAACCTACATCATATGCCTCACCGATATGATGCAATGAGAAATACAAAACATTCAACT